ACGAACCACCTGGGGTGCGAGTTCATTCGCATCGTGGGTGAGCTTGGCAAGATGGACGGGCACTGCGTGGGTCTCCGCACTTTGAGAAATGGAATGAATAGCAACACGATCAGTTACAGGTCCCTAGGTCTCAAACCAGATTCTCAATCGAGCATGGGTGGGGCGAGCCTTAGTCCACAACAGCTTTACAGTGCCTAGCATTTGGGAGAGAGCGGTGTGCGTGCGGACCACCATCAGACCACACACGGGGCGACGAAATGGACCAGCATCAGGCAGTCGGAACACAAAAACCTTCCCTTGAGCTCTGCTTTGTCGTGGGGAAGGTGCCGAAGGCGACGGGGTCGAGGCCAGCGCCAAGCCCGCGTCGACGCAGGGATCAACACACACACACACACACACCTCATGAGCCTCCAATCCTTAGCATGCACGCCCCTCGACCCATCGATCCCCCATGTCCCTTCCCCACCCCGATCCTCAGTATCATACGGACCCCATGTCCAGGTGAGATCCTAGGAAGGGGATGGCGGGAGGAGGCAACGGGGAGGGGCACATGGGCCCCCCGAGGCCAAAGACGTGATGGGTGCTGCGCGTTCTCAGCGCACCATCGGGAGCAAGCCGTCTGGCCACCAAATTGGTCGGGCACCTCCGAGCTGTACACCCTGCGAAATGGTTAAGAAATCATGGGTTAAGAAACTCATAGTCTCAGGATTTGAATAAAAAAACACAATTTCTATGCAAATTTTAGGATTTACATTGAAACAGTAAGAATAATCGAGACTCTGGCCGAAAACTCACGTTTTCTTAAGCATCGCCTAGGGTGTACTGGCACTGCCAGAACCTCTGGAGCGGGGTCTCCTCCGCGGCTCCACGTCTCGGGCACGAGCCGTCCGTGGCCGAGGAGCGCCCGGAATCGACGAGGCGAGCCTCTGCCATGCCAGCTGACTCTGCCGAGCTATTCCGCGACATTCGGGTAAGGATACCCTGGGCCGCCGTAGAATCAATGCCCTCCTGAGAGCCTTCCTCCAAATACGTGTCCGAAGAACTTCCCCATGATATGTTCGACAACAACTGGAAAGGGCGGTCCAACAATCAGGTGGGACAGCGTCATCAATGATTCGAAACGCAGCGGTAAGTTCACCGCGTCCCTTCCAACAAACAAGCGAGAACGGCTGCGTAAACAAATCGAGAAACTCCGCAATCGTCGCGGCGATGAAGCCTTTGTCCCGTCTCCAACGGTCGCTTAGAGGGAATCTAATACAAGCCAGAACTGTCTTACCCCGCGTGCGGCCAATGCAGCGCCTCCGACGATTGTTGAGATCGCTCCACAGCTGCAAGGAAGATATCAACTGTCTTATGGCGGAACCGAATGTGGGGGCCATCCCAGGGCGCAGAAACGACCGAGATGACAGCGGTGGTGCGCGCGGCTACCGGCCGCCACCCAGAGCAAAAAGCAGCCAGGGCACGCATCGATTGCACCTGGGCGAGGGAGAGCCCTAGGGCGTGGCGCCCCCAAGATTCGACAGCTAGGACCCCTGGTTTGTACCACTTCGAAGCTCCACCAACCAACTTACAAAGGCACTGCGCGTATTTAGCATTCTTATGCGTGGTCCTCCGACGAGCCTCTACCTTCATAGTGGAGCGCCAGCGCCAAGCGGTCGTCACGGTGATCAGGTCTTTCACAGCAGGCAGGGGTCGGATCGGAATCGCTGCGGCCTCGTAGCAGCGGCATCGCGAAGAGAGGCCCGAGAAGCAACGAAACCACACTTAGTCCCATGGCGCCAGCTCAATGCCGGCGGGAGCTATGGGGTTACATACATCATCAACGTTAGCCCCCTACTGGGCCTGAGAAGCATCGTCGACATTAGAGAGGAGACTGACGCAACGATGGTTACGCTGGGGGGTAGGTATGGAACCATAGACATACATCTTGACCCGAGGGACATTGACTAGGTGTAACCAGCAAGGGGCCCCGACCCCGCAGAGATGACACCAGAGGTGGCTCCAGAGACCCCAACAGTGCGAGGAGACGCGTGGACGAACAGCTCAAGGTAGAACAAATGAGGGGGGGCATCGGTGCTCAATCCCGAGAGACGCCAACCGGACAGGGTTGGCCGACTCCGAAAACTGGGCGAGGTCCCAGTGTGGGTCGGTAGAGGAGGAGGAGGAGGAGGAGGAGGAGGAGGAGGAGGAGGAGGAGGAGGAGGAGGGGGAGGAGGAGGAGGAGGAGGAGGAGGAGGATATCCACCAAGGCAAATCGCAACTTCGCTGCCAACCTCACTAAGCAGGGCAGCCCGGAGGGCACTGCTGCCGCGGACGGCATCGCCCCCGACACCTGCATGCTTGGGCGTCCAGCTGCCGAGGCCATGGCCACGCAGGCAAGGATGCAATCGGTGGGCAGTGGGGCATTCAGACTCCAAGGTTGAGGGGGGGGGCGGTCGCCCCCGGCGACGTGTGGGCGAGCCACGTCGGGGCCTTCTGCGCACTGGTTGCGGACGTCAGCGAGAAGCGCACTGGGCGCGGGAGGGGGGCTCCAGGAAGGCGCGGGGGGCCCCACGATCCACCCCGATGGCAGTGCTACTAAAAAAAAACGCGGCGCCACGGTCTCCGTCCGCACCCGCGAGAGGCTCGGGCTCCGGAGCGATGGGCCCCCAGGTTCGCGAGGGCGTCGCCGAGGGGGGCCCGCCGCCCGGCGGCGCCAGGCAGTCCAGGGCCCCCCGCCCCAGACCGGCGAAACATCGGGCCGAGATCGCATGCGGCCACGCGGGGCTGCTCGATGCCATTGGGGTGATGAGGTGTGCAATGCAGAAACCGAACTCTATGTACACCGACGCTTTGTCCGGCCCCGCACCGAAACTCGCACAAGAAAACGGATCCTGGTGTATACGGGATCCTGGTGTATGCACTCTTCGCTGCTTCCCCGGGAGGGCGGGGCAAAGCAGACACCACACCACCCCGATGTCGGCCCCGACCCTACAAAAAGACCTGGGATTGTACAAAACAGCCCGCCACTGGCAATGCACATGCTCCAATTCTGGGGGGCCAGATGTGAACCCTACCCCTACCTCCCACGATTTCTGAGGGGGAGGGGTGGGGTTCACTTCGTTCGGGAGCTCCCGAGCAAAGTGAACCCCACCCTCCCCCTCAGAAATCGTGGGGGGTAGGGGTAGGGTTCGCATCTGGCCCCCTAAATTCCCGAGCAACCCCCTCAGCCGCGTCACGTATCCACCGCGCGTGTGCCCTGCGAGCTCCGCGCTGGAGCGCACCGAGCGGCCGCGCGCCCTGCCCCGCCGCGGCCGAGGCGCGCGGGCGGCCGTCCCGGGCCGGGGCAGAAAATCGGCGGGCCAGGCCCGGCCAGCGGGGGGCGGGGGCGCCGCCTGAGCTCGCCACCGCCTGGGCATCGCTCGGACGTCCATTCCCTGTGCTTTTTTCGGTTTCGTGCGTGTTTTTTTCGCCAAGTGATCAAGGATGCTCCTCGATGGTCCTCGCCGAAGGACACATGCACACGTCCAAGCGATGCTAAGCCGCGCAGCACTGCGCGGGGCGCCTCCTGGCAGCGCGCGAGCACGTGAGGGCGCGGGCCCCGCGAGGTGCCCGCGCTGCCATGGGCGCCGCGGTGCGCGCTCCGTCCGCGGCGTTGGGCACGCTGGTGCTCCACCGGCTCCCGTGGCGAGTGAAAGCAGGAGCAGAGCACAGGGTCCTGGGACGACTGTCCGAGGGCGCCGCTCCGAGCGAGCCCGGTGCGTTCGAGCTGCGAGAGAGACCTTCTCGCTCGACAACAACCGAGAGATCACCTGCAAAAAGACGCACTCGCGCGGGATCTCAGCGCGAGCTCGGCAGCCGAAGGCCAAGGCCAAACTGTATTGCCCATATTGGGCGATACATGTTCACGAACACGTGGTGCCGCGGGCTCCAGGAGGGACGCGGGGATATCCGAAGTCCCAAGGCCACATGCATGTGCGCTGCACCTCCCACAGAAGGTCGGGCCCAAAACAGATCGGGCCAGGGCCAGGTTTCCAGCGACGCCGCACCGGAAAACCGGGGGGCCAGGATATCAACCTGGAGCAGGCATGCGCCATGCAGGGGGGGGCCCTCGTATCCGCGCGCAGAGACGCGCGGGACAAGGTCTTCCCCGGCCAACGCGTTCTCGTCGAGGGCCCCCCATACCTGGAGCGCATGTGGCCCCTGAGCAGACGGCAGGAGCAGGCGGGGTCGTGCTGGCGGCGGGAAAGACAGACGCAGATATTACACGTCGGTGCTACGTCTCCTCTTAACAGCCAGGGCGCAGCAAACGCGTGACTGAAATTCTGTGTATATATATATATATATATTATAATATATATATATAGATACATATATATAAAACACCGGAAAAAACCTTATCACGCCATGAGGGCGGGGGAGGATGGAAGAGGGCGGCGGAGGAGAAGGGGATCGAAGAGGGCCTTCGTCTCGCGGGGCACGCTGCCGTGCACCGTGGGCCCACAACTGCCCTTCAGGCTCAGCACGAAGCGCTGCCGACGCGAACTCTGCACTACCAGGCAGAGGCCCCCGAGGGAGGGAGGGGCGCGGGGACGAGGGAGGAGGCAGGCTGATGATGATGAGGAGGAGAACGGACGACGAGGGAGGAGGGGCGAGGAGAAGGATCATGCGGGGGCGAAAAGGATGACTCGGGCAGGTGGTAATAAGGGGTGTGTGTGTGTGTGTGTGTGAAGAAAAGGGCCCTGAGGGGCTCCTCTAGGACCCCTTTTGGGCACCAGCTGGCTTCAAACAACGCCCCTTTCGGGTCCTGTTCTTCGCCGCCCATGGAGGGAGGGAGGGGAGGAGGGAGAGAGGAAGGAGGAGGAGGCGGAGGAGGAGGAGGAGGAGGAGGAGGAAGTTGGAGGAGGAGGCGGAGGAGAGGAGGAGGATGGAGGAGGAGGAGGAGGAGGAGGGAGGAGGGCGGGAGAGAGGGAAGGCGGCGGAGAAAAGGATGTCGGGACGAAGCGGGGCAAGCTCGTCGCCTGTCTCCGCGGCCGCCACCTCCCGCTCCAGCGCGCCCACCTCGGCCCGGCCCTCCGCCAGCTGGCCCTCGAGGCTGGCCCGGAAGCCGACGAGGGAGGCGACGCTGGCCTCCAGGGTCTCCTCCGCCGCGGGGGTGACATGCAACATCAACACCTCCTCCTCCTCCTCCTCCTCCTCCTCTCTTCCTCCTCCACCTCCTCCTTCCCCTCCTCCTCCTCTCCTCTCCTCTCCTCCTCCTCCTCATGACTTCCCCGCCGCCTCCTCCTCCTCCTCCTCCTCCTCCTCCTCGGGGTGGGGGGGGGGTCCGACGGCGACTGGGGGTGACATGCGACATCGCGCTCTTCGTCATCATGACAGTGGGTGAAACATGCGTTTCGGGACAGCCACACGTCTCTACGACAACCGATCGAACATCGCGCGTTTTCGTATGGCAGCAGTGTGTTCTTTGCTATCACAGATGCGCTGTCGTTGTGACAACCGCGCGACTTTAAGACAACAAGTGGCCTCCCGTCAAATGCCTACGCGTCGCAGCGCGACCGCTCAGGGATGGACATCGAGGCGGCGCTAGCCCCCGGGCCGCTTCACTATGCTCCCCCTTGCTCTCTGCTGCCCAGGGGGAGAGGCGAAGGAAGCAGGGGGGAGCGGGGAGAGGAGCAGGGGAGACCGAGGAGGAGGGTAACATGAGGAGGAGGAGGAGGAGGAGGAGGAGGAGGAGGAGGAGGAGGAGGACGAGGAGGAGGAGGAGGAGGAGCACGAGGAGAACGAGGAGCAGGAGCGAAAGGGGGAGGAAGAAGGGAGGAGGGATGACGAGGAGGAGGAGGGGGAGGAGGAGGAGAAGGAGGAGGAGGAGCAGCAGGAGGAAAACGGGAGGAGGAGGACAAGGATGAGGATATGGAGGAGGAGGAGGAGGAGGAGGAGGAAAAGGGGGAGCTGATGATGATGATGCTGATGACGATGACGATGACGATGCTGCTGATGATGATGATGATGATGATGATGATGCTGCTGAGGATGCAACTGAGGATGATGACGATGATGATGATGATGATGATGATGATGATGATGATGATGATGATGATGATGATGTTGCTGACGATGCTGATGATGATGACGAGGACGAGGACGACGACGGCGACGACGACGCCGACGATAATGAAGATGCTGATGATGATGCTGCTGATTATGATGATGGTGATATTGATGGAGATAATGCTGCTGAATATGATGCTGCTGTTGCTGTTGATAATAATGACGATTATGATGATGATGATGCTGATGATGATGATGATGCTGATGATGATGATGATGATGATGATGATGATGATGATGATGATGATGATGATGATGATGATGGTGATGCTGCTGATGCTTCTGTTGCTGATGATGATGATGCTGATGATGATGATCCCCGCGCAATCGCTGGTCTCGTGGCGGGCGCGCGACGTTCGCGCGCGGAGATCCGTGGGCGTGATGGGCAGCCGAGGGTGCGATGTGCGGCGCTCTCACGTGGCCTCGTCCAGCGGGGCGCCCGAACGGACGTGACGGGATCGTGGCAGCGATGCCCAGGCTTGAATCTCTGAACGGGTCCAGGGACACACAAATAAATAGGCACAAATAGCAGGAGTCCCCATATTCTCAA